ACATGAGGGGTGTGGAATAGAGTCTTCCTTAGTTTCAGCTTTAGATCCGGACTCCTGTAGCACTGAAGCCTGTGTCGCTGGGTCGAGGGAAGGGGGGAAAGGGGGACGAAAGGCTCATCACAAATCCCCCTCCCCCCTCCCCCCTGAAACCGCTTATAATTCCTCAAAGATCTGTTCATTCGTTTCGATTGCGAATTAATAACACCAATACTAGAGAGTCACAAACATCACCAATTTGTTCCTAAGCTATTTCTATAAAACGTAAGAAAACAGAGCTACCTACAACTTTGCGAGAAGATGGTTGTTGTTCGTTGATGCTACCGCTCAAGTCCAGAATTTTGAGCCCGCTGCAGTACCAATGCAAAAAATAATTCCAAGGGACAAACTAACAGCAATGCATCCCAGCGAACGGAGAATTCCGGCATAAATCGTATCCACATACCAATATGGCTTTAGTCCACTTGCCAACAATAGTTTCAAACGTCCCTTCATAGCATTTTTATCAATCTGTAATGCATGATGATCTTAACGTTAAAAATTTCCAGTTCACTAAAAAGTGGAAGTATTGCTCAAGCGGTCGTTTGTCAAAAAATCCATGTTCATTTACATATACGATTGCGGTTAAGGCCTTGCACTGATAAGTGGTAGCTGTATTTTATCGAAACATAAATGGGTACAAATATATTATATAGTTAGTTTTTATGCTACATCCGTTTCCTCTTCTTCATGACTCATTACAATAATCCGGCCCCCTATCCTCTCGTAATCTAACTTACTCATTTACAAATTCTTTCCTTTCCCTTTCTTTTTTCTTAATCAACAACTTTTTCTAATTCGTCTGTCTGGCGCCTTTTGGGTCTTCATCACCAGAAAGAAGGAACACTCGTTCACTTCCGTTGTGAATCCTTTAGGCTCCATATAAACCCCCATTTCCTTCATTCTGGACATGGTCCTGGTCCGGGTTTCGTGTTCGACTGGAACTACGCGTTTTTCCTAAATTGCCCGTCCTTCGACTCGATTCTTCTCATCATCGTCCTCGCACTCATCAGCAGTCCCCAAGAGGTGTTTAGCAGAACTCTTCCTGATATTCTCCCTGTGAATAGGCCGGTTTACCAATATCACTGATTGCTCATTACTTTCTTTGAATCTAATAAACGTTCCCCTGGGAGCCCCCGTGTCACAACAATCACCACACCCAACCCGCATTTACTGAGGCACGCCTTAGCCTCATCGGTGCCACCGGCAAGCTTTGCGTAATTTGTGCAGCACGAGCTACGGTCAGCCTAAGGATGATCCTTAAGGTAGTTTCCTGGCTTTTCCTCTTCGATTTGCTGAAGAAGTATAAAAAAATGCACTTTTTCCCACTGTTTCTCAGGCCATTCAGCTCATCCTTTATCAAACCTCACGTATTTCCTTAAAATGACCATCACCCGTGCTAGAGTTCATCATCAGGGCTGAGTGTAGCTGTGCTTTTTTACATACAGCTCTTTACATGACTTTTTGACATGCCACCCTCTTTTTGAAAATATGCGTCACAACAATCTGGACCTTTTTTAATTTCCCCCCCCCCCCCCCCCCCCCCCCCC